GCAGTGAAAATCATTAACAGGCAATCGTTCGATCGGCCGAATTGCACAAAACGCATGATCGCACCGACTAGTCTGGTGCGCGTTGCCATTTATTATTACTGTTGTTGTTATTACTATTGTTATTCTTATGATTATTATTATAATCGCTGTTATCAATGTTACTGCTACTTTATTATACGCAGAAAATTCTGAATAAGTCTATTCGCATTAAGTTGAAGGCTCCAAATAGTGAACTCCCTCCCCTCCCCTCCCCCGTGCTTTTCAGCGAGGAAGGGCGTCGTTAGGATACAAAGCGGAAAGACTCCCCGCAGTTATGGCACCAACATCGCGCTTAACGATGGCGAATGCACGAAGCCTACCAAAGTGTTGTGGTTCAGTTCAGTTCGTTTTTTTGCTGAGCGGAGAATGCCCAGCATCTGGAGATAATAAAAAACTATTTCGTTTCACAAAAGTGCAAAAGGAGAGATGTAAGAGATTAATGACTGATTATTTTTGCTCACTCTTGCTGAAAATTTTTGTTGAACTCTGGCCGATGACAAGCAAACACTTCGGCTTTCAAATGAAACAGCAATGGAGTGGGGACATAGAAGCGGCCAGACTCGCCGTAAAATGAACGAAATGCGGGAAATCGCTGTGATCATGACAAAAGCAAACCATTGCAAAGAAAGTAAAATTCGCTTGTCTTGCTGATAGCAGATGAACGCCGCATCTCAGTGAATTGTTTATCCAAGAAGGCAAAAAGAATCCTCGAATTGCATTTGAAAATGTGGCGCATTTATATCAAGTGTTTCCATCGACGGCCCAGACGGATTTGATAATTTCGTCAAAAATTTTACTAGAAATGCGTCATTTTTCAATTTCGCTGTATTACGACTTCTATTTTATGGGACTTAACATGGGAGAGGAGTTAGCGGTGCCCCGATGAAATAATGGTAGATATCAGTAAGTTGTAGCACATTTCCATTGAAGTACTGCGTTCCGGTCTGGCATCAGCGATATTATCAAAACAGTGCATGCCAAGAAGAGCTGAGCTGGCAGTAGTGTGAGACAACAAATAAACAAAGCAGACTATTGAATTGTATTTAAGTTAGAAAAGGACAATCAAAGGCTGTCAATACGACGGAAAGACTCAGCCGAATATCTTTATGATTTTGTATGAATAAAATAGGTCAAAAACAGAAAGAAACGGAGAATTTCCCAGCTGCATTAACGGCGAAAAAAAAAGCGCGACGATGAAACAAAGAATTAAAGTGAGGCTCTTAATCCGTACTATACCAA